AAGTAAAGAATCAAATAAGCCCTAAGTGAACTTAAAGTAAGTAATTCTCGCAGGCAATCTATCTAACATCCATCATGACTTGCCTACACTTACGCAAAATCGTTCAAAAGATTTATTAAAAAGAATAAAACGCATATATAATATTGATTGCATGGAGAAGCTCGTATATAAGCATGTTGCATACACGTACATATATTCCACAAGTTCATACCAACACCAACTGGCACACATGCACACAAAATGACAGAGACAGATACGAACATACCCACTTGAATTTAGTGATTTTATCGGTTAATTACGAGTTGTCAGTGCAAAGCTCGACTAATGAAATATTCTCTGAAACGTTGACATTTGGAAAATCTCTTTAACCTGGAACTTTGACCCTTTATAAATATCGCTCGAGTCACATGTAGAATAAATCATTTATTTATGTTTATAGGTGCAGGTATAAATAGGAACATCGTCTGCATGTTCGACTTTTCCATCCACGAATGTTGATCTTTTTAAAGATTTATTTAAAAAAAATCATTATCTATCTATCTATCTATCTATCTATCTATCTATCTATCTATCTAAATCTGTTTTTATCCTTCTACCTATCTATCTATGTTCATATCTATCTAAATCTGTTTATATCCTTCTATTCTATCTATCTATCTATCTATGTTCATATTTATCTATCTATGTTCATATTTATCTATCTAAATCTGTTTTTATCCTTCTACCTATCTATGTTCATATCTATCTAAATCTGTTTATATCCTTCTATCTATCTATCTATCTATGTTCATATCTATCTAAATCTGTTTATATCCTTCTATCTATCTATCTATCTATCTATCTATCTATGTTCATATTTATCTATCTAAATCTGTTTTTATCCTTCTACCTATCTATGTTCATATCTATCTAAATCTGTTTATATCCTTCTATCTATCTATCTATCTATCTATGTTCATATCTATCTAAATCTGTTTATATCCTTCTATCTATCTATCTATCTATCTATCTATCTATCTATGTTCATATCTATCTATTTAAATCTGTTTATATCCTTCTATCTATGTTCATATCTATCTATCTATTTAAATCTGTTTATATCCTTCTATCTATCTATCTATTTAAATCTGTTTATATCTATCTATCTATCTATCTATCTATCTAAATCTGTTTATATCCTTCTATCTATCTATCTATCTATCTAAATCTGTTTATATCCTTCTATCTATCTATCAATTTAAATCTGTTTATATCCTTCTATTTCTATCTATCTATCTATTTAAATCTGTTTATATCTATCTATCTATCTATCTATTTAAATCTGTTTATATCTATCTATCTATCTATCTATTTAAATCTGTTTATATCTATCTATCTATCTATCTATTTATCTATCTAAATCTGTTTATATCCTTCTATCTATCTATCTATCTATCTATCTATCTATCTATCTATCTATCTATCTAAATCTGTTTATATCCTTCTATCTATCTATCTATCTATCTATCTATCTATCTATCTATCTATCTATCTATCTATCTAAATCTGTTTATATCCTATCTATCTATCTAAATCTATCTAAATCTGTTTATCTATCCTTCTATCTATCTATATCTATCTATCTATCTATCTATCTAAATCTGTTTTCTATCTATCTATCTATCTATCTATCTATCTATTTGATATTCTTGGGTCTATCACGCCAGACATCACAGCCCTATGGTCGGAAGGTCATTAGGAAGGCATTCTGCCTCTTCTTAACATATCTGTCAATGTAGGTGGTTGCTGGGCGACCAACCCGCCTTCGCCATGACTAGGTGTCCAGAGCAGAGTTGATCACACGTAAGTTCTTGTTTTGCTCGCCGGCTGGGTCCTGCAAAGCGTATTCTGTATTCACGTAAGATTGTATTAATATCAGGGATGGGTCACTTGAACAGTGAATTTGTTGGATATTGTCTCCAAGAGTTTTTAATTATACCCTTCAGCATCCGAGTGTCGGTTCCATTAAGTTTAGATACAAGAGTTTTAGTTAATGTCGAAATGGTACCATAGATTAACACCACCCCAACACTGGCTGGAAAGAATCTTCGTTTGAGTCTGTTTGGTAAATCAAATTTCGAAGTTTAATATACTTCATCAATTTACCTGAGAGAGTTTGCATTTAGCCTTGCTGATTGAAGTTTATGATTTCAGTTTTTAGAGGCATTGATATAAAGTCTAACATTGTTAGTAGCGTTTTCTAGATGATGTATGGGAATCGTGTTACTAAGACGGAAAATACTGTGTTGCCTGCATAAGTTGAAAATCAAAATCTGGGATTTATTTGAACTTAAACACCCAACTAAGCATACCTGAAAAAATCCTAGTCATATATATATATATATATATATATATATATATATATTATGAAATGGACAAAGTTCGACAATTATTTTAAGATATTTTTTATGTTTATACGTTCTTTTTATAGATACAAATATTTAAGTAAATGCTCTGTTTATAATAAACAGTATTAACGACATTTACCGACCTGAATGTCCGAGAAATTTTCAAGAAAATATGCATCCTCCGACAGAAATCGAACCGGTATCCTATGCGGAACTGTCATATAACCTGATGTGCTTTGATCGATTGAGCCACAGAGGAGCGTTTTCGGTTAGCAAGGTCGATTTTACTTTTATTAAACTACAATTCTCCATGATTTTCTTTCATACATTCATATTTGCTCGATGCGTATCCAAATGTAAAGAAACGACGTCACACATTATGAAATGGATAAAGTCCGACAATTATTTTAAGATATCTTTTATGTTTATATAAGCACGTCAGGCTATATGATGGTTCCTTATAGGATACAGGTTCGATTCCGTTCAGAGGACGCATATTTACTATGAAAATTTCTCTGACATTCAGGCCGGTAAATGTCCTTAATACTGTTTATTATAAACAGAGCATTTACTTAAATATTTGTACCTATAAAAAGAAAGTATAATGATAAAAAATGTCTTTATATATATATATATATATATATATATATGTGTGTGTGTGTGTGTGTGTGTGTGTGTGTGTGTGTGTGTGTGTGTGTGTGTGTGTGTGTGTGTGTGTGTGCATGCGTTGCCGTATGTGATAAAGTTAAAGTCTGCCATTCGTTCATTCTTAGAATATTGCTACCACATATGGTCCGGTGCACGTGCTATCTTGAAATCTTTGATAAAATCCTATGAAGAATCATCAATATTAATGGTCCCGTTCTGGCATCTTGGCTTCAGTCATTTTCCCACCTTTGTAGGGTTGCCTCCTTTTGCCATTTCTATAAATACTTTTTATGGTAATTGTTCGGATGAGCTCATCGCTATGGTGCCTAGACTCTCAGAATTTAAGCGAAATACTAGACTGGCGGTGAGGTCTCACCAATTTACAGTCGAACTGGCAAGATATATCCGTAAATTCTAGCACCTTTTTTTTCTTCTCGCTTCTGGAACTTCCGACTCCATGCATTCTAACCAACTTTAATTTTCAAAAATTAAAATGCAATGTCAATCGATATCTGCTGTCCTTCTGATTACTCTTCCTGTAACACATTACGTCTCTGTAGCCTTCCTGTCTTTCATAGGGTGATCTTGAACTTGATATATATATATATATATATATATATATATATATATATATATATAGTTGTACATTTACGCATCAATCTTTCGTTTAGGCATGTTTCATTAAAAACGACAGACGTGGTACTACAGCTAAACTTTTTATTTAATTCTTCTTGTGTTCGAACAAGAGCTTTCTTTTCTGGACAAAGATTTTGTAAAAACTGTCCAAATGTTTTATAGTTCTGAGGGCTTTCCGCTATACCTTTAGCCATTATCAAGGATGATTCGATTTTTCAGCTTAATTGAGTGTGTGCATTATGTGTATATTTTAGTGTGTTGTAGGGATGTTTTAATTTCCGAATATGGTTAGCACATTGTGGCCATGTTCGTAGTTAATATTGTTAAGAGTTGTTTTTTTCTCTTTTTATTATTAAAGCTTCCATTATTTTCATCTTTTTTTTACAGGTGGATGAAGTTATTTATTACACACACACACACACACACACACACACACACACACACACACACATATATATATATATATATATATATATATATATATATATATATATATATATGTGTGTGTGTGTGGTCTCTAACAGGATGGGACACATTTTAAATGCAAGTATCGTGGATTTAAAAATGACATAAAGTACCAAATATATGTATTACGTAATTAATATATAAGAGTTCAACATATTATCTCAAATTTGAATATGACATCCCTGAGATTGTCACCACCTCGAAAAGAACATGTACGCGTTCGCTCTCTCGTGTCAAACACTGTTGCGGTCTTTTATAAGAACTGCGTCCACCGACATCAAAATATATATACGATAACTGTACATAATAGCAAGATCTTAGATAATATTTTCAACTCTTGAATATCAGTTATGTAATATATATCTTTAGTATTCTATATTTAGTATCATATTTAGAATCTTACATTTAAACGTTATAGGACAATAATGAAAATATTCTCAAAGATGCAAACATTATTGAACAGGTTGCTCAGTTTAAAATACAAAACAATATACAATAATAAAGATATTATTTTTGCTCTCGTCAGAGCGTAAACGAAGGAACTGGACTCGTAGGACGTTGGAGAGTCATAGCGAGTGTGGTAATTATTGTAGAACTGTGGCTGGTAGGGTTTACAAGACGTAGGTCAGAGAAAGGAACGAGGAATAGAATTCGCGTGTTGTTTTCGAGGTGGCTCTGAGTTTGGTCATGTTCACTTTGTATAACTGTGCCTCAGAATGGTATGATCCTATTTTCCCTGTGTTCTAGCCAATCGCCCAATCATATATATATATATATATATATATATATATATATATATATATATATATATATATATATGTGTGTGTGTGTGTGTGTGTGTGTGTGTGTGTGTGTGTGTGTGTTTCACATATATGTGAACACACACATATAGAGACATTTAGAGAGAGAGAGAGAGAGAGAGAGAGAGAGAGAGAGAGGGAAATTATAGAGAGGGAGAGGAGTTTGAAATTGACTTGGCTGACCTATAAATCTTTTTAATATAAAGAAGCCGTGGAGAGAGAGAGAGAGAGAGAGAGAGAGAGAGAGAGAGAGAGGGAGAGAGAGAGAGAAGGAAAGAAAGAAATAGGGGAGAAAATTGAATGAACTTTAACCTCAAATCATCTCAGCCTATTAAAAATCATTAAATGGCAAGAAAGAATTAAGGGCAAATGTCAAATCAATTGCCGCTGTCTCCAGCGCAGTTTATGAAATACGTAGTTTGTCGATTAACTAAAACAGGTCCCTTTCATAAGTCGAACAGTGAAGAAAGCAAACAAACAACAAATACAGGTCTTCCTTCATAAAGTGCATAAAGTCTGTTTGAGGGGGCGTCACGAGATATATTTACAATACTTAATAAGACTTATTAACAAAGAGCAAGCATCAGTTTTCAATCTACAACAGTTTTCTTTCAAATACCTTTTATTCAACGACCTATTTTGTCTAATATTTCATCTTTACAATACATTCAATTCTTAATTATAAAGACTAATTTTAACCCATAAAAATTGAACGGTATTTCTGTGTTAATATTCTAATCAATTCTAATTCTTAAGTTAATAATTGACTAAACTCATGGCGAGTTCTACGACAAAAAATTCTCATATCGCATCGTTAAATATTTAAGCTTAACAAATTCTTTAAAATATTATAATAACGACCATAAATATGGATGCTGATCGTTATTTTCAGAAGTGGGTAGAGATGAAATGTTTTCAAAATAGACAAATTTTCCCATTTCACTGAAATAACCGTTAAACACTTTTACCTTCCTGTTTTTCTTTTATTATAACTGAAACCAAGTAGTATCTTTTCCCCTATATCCACGTGATCAAAACGGAGTAATTCACTATTTATGAGGTATTGGCAGGGCGTAATGGTCGTGCGAACTATCGGATGCATGGACAAGAACAATTATAATAGGATAATATTGTTACAGATATGTAAACCACTGGTTTCATTTCATTATTTTTTTCTGTTCCATTCTTAGGACACCTTATGATAGACAACCGAAGTGTGTATCTTTTTTTTTCAAGAACTATCAGTATTTATCGATCTCTTCGTAATCGTAAAACATCAGACATAATCGATATTTAATGTGAGATTAGCGAATCATAAAACCAACGTGAAACGATCCCAGACTCAAGATCATATATTCTGATGGTTAATCTTAAACTATTCTAATTTCATCAGCCATTGTTAGTATTACATTATAACATCTCCCTCATAGAGCAAGGAGGTTTTTGTCGGACAACGAAGCCATGGTTGCTATAAATTAAAAATACATTTAAGTTCTTCTATTTAAAAGACGAAGGCAAATTAAATATTATGTGGAACCAACGATTTAATCTAAAACAACTGATTGAACTCATTATGACAATCCTAATAGTAATTACAGATTATTATAAATTGTAAAGTTACACTAGAAATAGACTAAGAAATTTAGGTCATGAAAACAAATGAACGAGTTTAATAGTCCGAAAATCACATTGAATAAAAAAGTTTCATCTTAAAATTATAGTGCATAACTAAAATGTTGAGCTGAGTCATGTGAGAAGTTTTAAGAATGATTTTGCTTCTTTATAAATTAGAACTGTTAAGAAAGCTACGAGATTAAGAGATGAAAATGCGTTTTTAATGATAATCTCGTAGAAGATAGCAAAAAAGATTTAATTCAATAGTCCGAACAACTCTTGGAATGATCATATCTCTTCTCAAATTATAAAAATTCATAAAGAATAGTTTCAATAGTCTAAATATATCTTGTAATTGTAATGGTTTCCAAATTTATGCAAGGAAACAAAACGAAAATTTATTAAATGAAAGAATATTTCGAATGATAATATGTTTTCTTAGATTTATTGAAAGGAAAAGAAAGAAGGAATTCACTTGTCTGAAACTTGTTTTGGGGAATATTGAGCCTTCTCAGAATTATATAAATTATATATCGATGTTTGTATTCTAAAGTTTAATATTACATATTTTTATTTGTTTAATAAAACAACATCAACTAAGCAACATGCTTTGAGATTCATACTTGCATTCTGTTTAAAATTATCTCATATGATCGATGCCTGAACGAGTTTAATGTTATAATTAAGATGTTGTTAGATGTATTCTTAAATTATCCATCCTTACAAAATTGTACGTCATGTTTTTATTTTCTGGAAGTTGTAACATTAATTTTTTGTTTTGTTTTTTAATCTGAGATGGATGACATGATAATATTATACAATGGAATTTACTTTTACACGGAAGAATTTAACTCCTATCCATCTCATTGTATATGGCATTCTTTTATCTATCTGATGAACTATAGACATGGTGGAGTAATTGACAGCGGCTCTGATTGAGGAATTGGAGAACTGAGTTCATTGCTTTCACTTACGTGCCTAGAAAAGCTATGAATCCATGTCTTTCTCCAGCAGGACACACTGAGCCCTATATCCTTGGTTGGCAACCAGTCTAGGAGAAGAAAAACTCTGAATCCAAACCAATTGCTGCTTTGTAGGTCTTCACTCTTTAGCTTCTGAGAGGAGGGAGAGAGTAACTTTAATATCTCCGATTGTCCGGTTCTGCTTTGAATGTGACCATGACCCACAACTATAAGGTGGAAGGATCCACAGCGACGTAAATGATGATGGCGAAATAAATATTCATTCTCTCTCCCTGCCTGTCTGTCAGTCTATCTGTTCCATCATTCTTTCTATGGGGGTGAAATATATTTTTGAAATTGTTACTCATATACACAATATCCGAGAGCAGAATGAATAAATTGATTTCAATAGATTTGAAGTTGCAGCATCTATCATTAGGAACTTGAATAAAAGTTTCATTTTAATTTCGTTTTGTTTTTCTAAAACTATCTACTGTTTTACTACAGGCTGCCCCTAAACTCTGAACACATAGGTAAAAATGCATATTTTCAAGAAAGGAAATTTTCAACAAAATTTTATTTAATTCATATATTAACAAGTATTACCTTCAATATGATTTCCATCATTTATGATGCAAAAGTTGATGCGCTTTACAAGATTCACATGAAATCGCTGCAATAACTGCACATTAAGTCGATTGTAGCATATTCACACTTTATGCGTTTAGTCAAGTGTGTTGCATCTGCGATTTTCATTGAGTACACCTTTTTCTTTAACATAACCCAGAAAAAAGAAGTCAAGTACAATTCTTTCTTCTTTTGACAAAACCATGTGGACGTAAAAAAAATCTAGTTAATATGTCCAGATTTTAAGGAAACTCTGTACAAAACGTTCTCATATATTGGGAGTGGGAGGCTTGTCAGATTTACTGGAAGCAATGAACAACCCCTTGCCATGTTTACTGTGTTTTAGAAGTGAACATTACATTCCCTGCTTATCACATTTATTTAACTACGGAGGAAGATCTATTTTATTCGATGCAATAAAAGTTATAAAGGACAATGGCCGAATTTTCTTTCTCTATAACAGAGCTATATTTGAACTTTGTGTCTGACTCTTCGGCGAGAAGTATTAGCGAGGCGCATTGCCTTCGGCGCTAAGCGTAAATTATCAGCGGTTATCCGATGATATGAGTTACACCTTCCAACACAGCAACTATAAGTGCTGGGTTATCACTAGAACTAGTAACATGAGGTGAACTTGCAGTATGACGAGGTTAACTACAATAATATTGCTGTCAACGTTTCAGTTCAGTGATGGGCTTTTGCATGAATTTATGTTTAAAAGAATATATTTCTTTCATTTTAGAATTTTGTAAAAAATTAACTATAATCAGTATTACCGAACGTACATTTTCATGGCTTAAATAAAATATATCTGTTTTATTTAATATCTTAGGAAATTTCTGTTTCACAAATTTCCAATCTTATAATTTATAAAAACCTCACCAGAAAATTGAAACCACTTCATAAACAAGTAGTAATAAAATAAGCACCTCCAATCTCCCGACTCGCTTCTAACAATTCATCACAATATAAATAAACGTTTTTTTTTTTTCAGTACTAAAATAGAATGATTCAAATAAAGCTTCATAAGCTTCTATTCAGAGCTGCTTCCATATTACCCACCCACAAAAACACCCGCAGGAACAAAAAAAAGGCATTCTTCTTTTGTTTTCGCCGGCCATCACCAATCCCTGGTCTGGTTAACCCGGATATTATCCTTTGTTGCCATTTTAGGAGTTTTAAGACGACTACTGTTGTTATAGATATTTGTTCTGCTTAGGAATTCTGTTATTTATGAATAGCTTTGATATCAAAACCAACACTTCGGTAAAAACAAAACAAAAAAAAACAAAACAAAAAAAAACAAAACAAAAAAAACAAAAAAAAAACACTCATGTATTTGCCAACTTCCTTCAAAACCAACATTAAAGAAAGAAACGCTGAAATTATCAATTGATCACTGAAAATAGGTAGACCAAAAACAAATTTTCAGCTGTTCCTCAATTTCATTTAATCTATCAAATCTGGAATCATTCAGAGTAACTAAAATACGAAGCAGCTGATAATTCCCTTTAATATGATACCAAACCTATTCTATCAGGGCGAAAGCTCATCACTAATAAGCATTTTCAGCCAGGTGTGGAGGATCTTTTATGAAAGATAGCCACATATGACTCACAGACTCACGGTAAGTTAACCAGAAATTGCCCGGTCCCACGGCTATTGCCGTACAGATCAGGGAGTTCGCCTGACCCTACTCTTGTTAGTGCAAATGAGGAAGCACGGCTTAGGAGACGATCCCCCGGAGACAGACTTCAGTAAATGATGATTGGCTTCAGTCATCCAGGTACCGGAAATCAGAGAGTAGTTTTGAAAGAGAAAATGTTTTGATTTCTGGTTTAGATACTTGCGATATTGCCCCCCCCCCCCAAGCTAGATATCAGTAACCGAGACTCGAAGCTAGACAAGATCTGGAAAGATGTTTGTGAAGCAGACATCACGAATAGATTAGAAAAAAATGGCGGATATTTTGTAATTTTGTCTCGGACATAAAGAAGTGTTAATAGCGTATAAAAAGGATAATCCACAGGGTAGCGACGGAAAACAATGTGCTTAAACCCGGATACAAGGGAAGACATTTTTATTTTATGTTGGGGTAGAATGTTGTAGTTGGGTTAGCGACAACTGGGGTTTGTAAACTAAACAGTCAGAACTGTCGATGAAATTTTGTTTTTTTATTCGTTCGAGCTATCGCGGACATTCATAAATTCTCACACCAAAAAGCACGGTCCTACATCAAGGTCGACAGCTTTTATTAGGGTAGCAATCTGTGTCATAACAGCTGATCAATGTAGGTGTTTGCTGGGTGACCAGCCCGTCTACCGACAGAGCTAGGTGTCCAGAGCAGTAACTCACTTGCGTGTCTGAGTCCTGAAAAGCGCATACTGCCTTCGCGTAAGATGAGACTTTGCCAGCGTGTTATTGACAACGATCTGGAAATCGTAATAAAAAGCTTAACGCAGACACACACACAAAGACACATGCACGCATATATATATATATATATATATATATATATAAAGACATTTTTTATGTTTATACGTTCTTTTTATAGATACAAATATTTAAGTAAATGCTCTATTTATAATAAACAGCATAACGACATGTACCGGCCTGAATGTCCGAGAAATTTTTCATAGAAAATATGCGTCCTCCGATAGGAATCGAACCTGTATCCTTTACGGAACCGTCATATAGCCTGACGTGCTTTACCGATTTAGGCACAGAGGATCGTTTCGGTTAGCTAGGTCGAATTTTACTGTTTTTTAAACTACAGTTCTCCATGATTTTCTCTCGTACATCATATCTGCTCGATGCAGTATCCAAATGTAAACAAATGACGTCACACACACACACACACACACACACACACACACACACACACACACACACACATTTTATCTCCCCAAGCAAGGCGGAAATACCAGGTAGTTGCAGAGAGTGAAGGTGAGGGAAAAAAAACTGGGTATAGTGATGACTAAGGAAAGGGTTAAAGGTGAAGAAGATAGTAGACGTTGCCTTTAAATTTTTGAGGATTGTAGTTATCAGGGAAGCAAGGAAACAGAAGGACATTCCACAGGCACAAAGTGCGAGAAAGGAAACTATTGAAGTAGAAGTGGCGATTACATTTAATTAATTCATCAGTAAATGGGTGGGATCTAGATTTCAATCTAGCAGCACGCTTAAAAATCACGTAGTTCGGGCACCAGAGGAAAAAAGCTACTGAAAGCAGTTGTCATGAAAATATTTATAGAAAAGACAGAGGGAAGCCGCGTCACGTCGGTGAGAAAGTGACTGATGTTGAATTGCCAGGTCAGGATCAATTACATTTTTTGTATTTTGTCAAGAACCTCAAGATGAATAGTAGAAGCACCAGACCAGATATGGCAACTGTATTCAATGCAGGGAATATGGTATATTTGTAAATGTGCAAGATGGACTGAGACGAGTAAAAACTTCTGGCACGACTCAGTAACCAACTTTCCATGGAGATGCGGCTATTGATTTGATATATATATATATATATATATATATATATATATATATATGCTCGTCAATTATCTGAGCAAAGTTTCATAACAACTCATTTAGCCACCCGCTCTCTACAAGAACTCATTAGGAAAATTCTGGTTGATAACTAGATCATCCTGTAACTGCAAACATAACTCTGTGCGAAAAGCATTCTAAATAAAACATCTGGCACCCAGTATTAATCTCACTTTATTTAACAATGGAAACAATAAAGGTATTTTTTTAAAGCAAAAGAACGCCAACTTGAATTTCAGCCACAACTCCCTGTATTTTGCAGCTCTTAATAAATTATGTCTTTTTGTTACTTCACCTAAACAGTGTTTCCGCCGTCTATTTACTCAAGATCACTGAGTATGTTATTCGTTGTTTTCCTCTGTCCCTCTTGACTTCAATCTGTCCTGTGAGTATCAGATTTTCCGGGCCCACTTTCCTCATCATGTGGTTAAGATATTAAATATAAATTTCCTTTATGTTTCCATTTTCTCTAAATCTTCGTCGTTGCTCACATAATCGGTTTTCCATGGTATCCTCAGCATCCAATTGTAGATTCGCATTACTGTTGTTTCAAGTCTCTTCTTCATCTTTGAGAAGATTTTCCAGCATTCACTGCCATATCGGAGGACAGATATCACGTAAGAATGCAGTAGCCGTTTCTTTGTTTCTAGCGAAGTTTTTCTATTTCCTATGGCATTTAACATACTGCTACCAATAATAATAATAATAATAATTGATCATCTTGTATCAGGTTGCACGATATTGGCATCCACTGAGTATAAAACCCGGCATGACAGAGTGGGCCAATATCTGCACTGGAAAATCTGCAACTTCTACGGGAAGGAAACTGAAAGAAACTGGTATGAACACCACCCAGACCAGGTTACGGAGATAGCACCTGTTACAATTCTATGGGACTACACAATACACACTGACAGAACAATCAAGGCCAGCCGCCCGGGTATTGTTATTAGAGACCACAAAAAAAGCCTCCTTATTGATATGGCAGTCCCTGCTGACTGCAATGTATTTTCGAAGATATTCAAAAAGCTGTCAAAATACAAGGACCTTGAAATAGAAATCTCAAAAATGTGGCACATGGGAACATCAACAATTGTAGTTGGAGCCCTAGGAATGGTTGGAAAAGACTTCAATAGACTAATTGAAGTGATTCCTGGAAGGCCATGCCACAGAGATACAAAAAATTGTTCTGACAAGTACAGCCCTCATTTTACGAAGGACTTTATCTATGTAATTTTTTTTTTTTTTAGTGGAAAGTGTCATGATGCCATTTCTAACCTTAGGTCCATGGGCGGAACCCGGAAAGAAATGTGTAAACGCTAGAAATCAAAGGAAATAATAATAATAATAATAATAATAATAATAATAATAATATAGATATGAAAGGAACGAAGGTAGCCAAGTACGTACACCGTGCCATTTAAGTTAAGTGAATTGTTGAAAATGAAAATAAGATTCTGCAATAAGTTAAGGAAAAGTCTTTGGGAAATGGTAAATAAAGAAGAGTTAAAGACCCCACGATGTTATTTAATACAGAATAGTAAGATGAGTGCCGGTGTAGTGAGGATATTTGCTGTCACTTGTAAATCATCAGTGTGCAATAACGTAAAGGAAAACAGGAAGAAACATTGATAAAGAAAAGAAAACAGAATGAAGAAAAAAGAAGTAAGACAAAAAGGAAAGAAAATAAAAATTAGACATCCATATGATAGGAAGAAATAAAGAAAAAAGAAAGAAAGAAAAAAGAAAGAAGTAAGAAAGAAAGAAAGAAAGAAAGAAGTAGGGCAGAAAGAAGAAAGACAGAAAGAAATAAAGAAAAAAAGAAAGAACGGAAGAAGAAAGACAGAAAGAAGAAGGACAGAAAGAAAGAAAGAAAGAAAGAAAGAAAGAAAGACAGAACGAAAGAAGACGTAAAAAAGAAGAAAGAAAGACGAAAAAAGAAGAAAGAAAGAAAAAGAAAGAAAAAGAAAGAATAAGACAGAAAGAAAGAAAGAAAGAAGAAAGAAAGAAAGAAGAAAGAAAGGAAGAAGAAAGACAGAAAGAAGTAAGGCAGAAAGTAAGAAAGACAGAAAGAAGTAAGGCAGAAAGGAAGAAAGAAGAAAGAAAGAAAGAAGAAATAAATAAATAAAAAAGAAAGACAAAAAGAAAGAAAACATAAAAAAGAAAGATCTACAGAAAGAAAGAAAGAAAAAAAAAAGAAAGAAAGAAGGAAAGAAAGAATTCACCGACATTTGATCCCAACCGCAATTAAAAAGAAAAAAAGATTAGATTTAAAAAAAAAAAAGCAAAGAAGACTCATGAGACAAGGATGAGCTTTAAGAGAAGAGATACATCTGATAAAAAGGTATTTGCTCAAAGCAGATAAAAATTGGATGGCTGATGAAGAGTAACATAAGGAACTAAATATGGTTAGGGTTGAATCTTAACCTCTTAGCTGGGAGTCGGTAGAAAAACAAAAATGTGAGAGGGTAGACTCTGGAGACATATATAATGAAACAGATTGAAATATCTCTGCATACAATTATATACTCTGCCTCTTGGCAGATCATTCCTGCTAAAATCATTTACCTTTTTTTCCATTGGCCTTTTCGCCTTACGTACGATATAATTCCCTTGGGATATATCAGACTCGACAATTGCTTCAGTGATTAAAACAGTACATACACACGCGCACACACACATTATCTTCCCACATATCTCTCACACACAAACCTATATCTATAGATATGTTGGTGTGTGTGTGTGTGTGTGTGTGTGTGTGTGTGTGTGAATGCCCACAGATAATATATGAAAAAGAAACGCCTACTTCGTATCATAAATAACTATATATTCCTTACACGTGAGACAATTTGGTGTTCACGCCCAGGTAAATACTAGAATTTCGAATGCCAGTTTTCTAAGCAAACTATATTTCCTCACTTAGAAGGTAGCCTCAACATTTTCCTACATATGACTCCATGCCTTAAGTAGATTTTTAGATATAGAAAAAAATGAGTAGAAAAATCCCAAGACGTGACATCTGGTCAATTATATTGTTTCCTCTTTCACTTGCATCCAATATTTTCTGGGATTCTTGCATAAATAGAACTACTAAAGGTCTGAAAATTCATTCGTTAACATGCAAGGTTATGCAAATATTTCTCTACACACATGGAGTCACGAGGATATCGCTATCATTATGCGTTTCAACTGAAATGTTTCAAGTAGAGATATTTATTTCGCGTGACGCATAATTCGAGTCAAATATTTACCTGAAGGGCAGTCAAAACAATATTCGCACACTCATATATTAGAGCAATGAGGAGATACTGTCGGCAGGCTGATCATCAGTACCAATTTATCTACATTATTATTTTGTTATAATTGTAAACTTCTAATCTGGAGACTATTTAGAGGACCAACAATGATTAAGCAGAGAGAGAAATGTATTAGAAAAGTATTAGAAATGTATTAGAAATTTATTAGAAAAGTATTAGATATTCATTAGAAAAATATTAGAAAGTATTAGAAATTTATTAGAATTGTATTAGAAATGTATTAGAAAAGCATTAGATATTTATTAGAAATGTATTAGAAAAGTATTAAAAATGTATTTGAAAAATATTAGAAATGTATTAGAAATTTAATGTATTGGAAATGTATTAGAAAAGTATTATAAATTTATTAGAAAAGTATTACAAATGTATTAGAAACGTATTAGATATTTCTTAGATAAGTATTAGAAAAGTATTATAAATTTATTAGAAAAGTATTAGAAAGGTATTAGACATTTATTAGATAAGTATTAGAAAAGTTGTTACGTATTGATAGAAACAATAGAAATAGTGCATGTTAAATTTATTTAGATATTATTTATAAAACAAAATGTAATCATCTTCATTTTCGATAACTGAAGCTCCATTACTATATATATATATATATATATATATATATATATATATATATATATATATATATATATATATGCTTCGATTATACAGGTAAAAAAACCTTTTCTCCCAAAATTTTTGAAATACTGTCTTTAGATTTTATGCCAATTCCACGCCCCATAATTAATTCATCATTTGTTCGAAGAGCTTCATTGGTTATGTTTTCCGTGTTTCATTTGCGTTTAACAAGTAGTCTTTTTCTATTATAATCTGTTTATTTTTCTGTTGCTACAGAAACAGTTGTAACCGTATGGAATTTGATTTCTACATTTTCACACGCATTGTCAAAATACCTTCACCGAAACTTTACCAATTTATGCATTGAGAATTCCTTAAGGTAAAGAGTTACCGTTAAAATGATTCTGATGAATGAAGTATGATGTAAGTGAAAGAAGAGGGGGGTAGAAAATGAAGGTTTTGTTTTGGCTAGAGGAAATTATTGACTCTTTACTTGAAATGATTAAGAGTCTTTTTATTCGTGGAAACATCCACGCGGTAATTTGTTTCCCAAAGAGCTTGTTATCGGGAGAGTGCTTGTGTGTAACTTTTTTCTTACTGTTGAAATACGGGTAAAATGAGCGTGATTCGACTCCGTGTAAGTAGCATGGTGTGTTATAGTCAGAAAGGTCTGAACTAGTGAAACTAAAGACTAGAGTTTATCTAAAGAATTACTAAAGAAATAGCGATAGGTTTGTAACGTTGTGTTTGAGACTGACGACTGACGAATATGCACATAATCACCACGCAAACAATTTTGAAATCTTTCAAAGTTCAGCAATGAGGATTCATCTGTTCCAGTCCAGCATTGCGTTATTTCAATGGGAGTTCGTTTTTAACATACTCTTAAATATTTGCGATCTAAGGTTTATTGTGTAGAGCTGTATAATGAAGAAAGAGGGCTTGAGGAACTTGAAACCCATAGGTCATATTGAAACCTACCTAAAAAGCTTGCTTAATTGGATACAAGAACAAAGATAAACCCATGATAAAAGAAACAGAATTTATTTGACGTAATATTTGCAGATAACCCACTTCCAGCATACGTGCCACCATTACGGGATAAAAGTATTCAATGTCCGGGAAAGAATGTAAATATAAGTAGTTTAAACAGGGGTGTCAACACTAGCGTGAGAATTGCTTCTAAATATGAAACAGTCTGTTGACATTCAGTGTTGATGTTTACGTTCAACCTTCTTATATATATATATATATATATATATATATATATATATATATATATATATATATATATATATATATATATTCATGAATTATTCATACAAATAACAAATACAAATATTAATGATTTAATTGGCGAGAAATCCATCGTCGCGAACAATTCAAATAATATACAAAAGCCCCGAACCTGTTTATGAATGAAAAGATCCTTGTTTCTATAAATTTCTGTTGCATGAGTTTTTATTTTTACAAGCTTTCGTCTGTTCCAACAGACATCCTCAGGTATGGAATAGATTTTGTTCTTGTTTTTTCTCTCAGTAATAAGAGGACAACGAAAACAATGTACTGTTGTAATCCGAAAAATGCTATTAGAAATGAGTTATTGTTTTGGAGCGTGCTGTCGCAACGCTGAGTTTGAATTTAAATTTTACAATTGTGCGTTCTTATACAAATATGGTGATAAGTGGATTCTTTTTTACTGGTAAATTTTTTGTCAAAGTGGCATGAACTTTATTGTTCAATAATTACAGTAATGTCGCACTTATTATCCAAAAGTTGCATTTGGATCAGTTATTTTAATTTCAATAAAGGTGCAATTAATTTACAAATTCATGAATTATTCTTACAAAAAACAAATACAAAGGTTAATGATTTAATTGGCGAGAAATCCATCGTCGCGAACAATTCAAATAATATACAAAAACCCCGAACCTGTTTATAAATGAAATGATCCTTGTTTCTATAAATTTCTGTTGCACGAGTTCTTCTTATTTTTACATATATATATATGTGTGTGTGAGTGTCTATATACATATATATATATATATATATATATATATATATATATATATATATATATGTATCAATCTTGATGAAGGAAGGTGTGGGTGTGTATTTCTCTCTGCCAATCCTTCCCAAGCCTGTGGAAAGTGTCAAGCGTATGCCCGATTTTCAAGTACGTGGACGTGTGATCTTCCCCCACCAATCTCCTCAGTATCATCAGCAATGCTCTATGGAGCCATAATCAATAAGAAATTCGTCGAGCACCCAGAAAAGAACAAACTCTTTAGCGACGAGTATGTGTTTTCGGTCGGCGCGATCCACTGCCGATTTTCTAACTACCATCCCTCACAGAGTCATTGAGGCTCTTGACGACAAACACTAATCGAGGATCATAATACTAGATATCTCAATGGCTTTCGACAAGGTGTGGCACAAAGGCTTACAACACAAGCTCTTCAGTCATGGAATCACAGGAAGGGTCTTCATGATCATAAAATCCTTCCTAATATAGCCAGTCCTAGTGATAAACTCCTTGAACCAAACCACTCCAAGAACAGACCCATCAGTCTCCTCATTATCATCAGCAAGCTCTTTGAGACACATAATCAATAAGAAGGTAGTCGAGCCCCAAGAAAATTACAAACTCCTCAGCGACGAGCAGTATGGGGTTTCGGTCGGCTCGATCCACTACCGACATTCTAACTACCAACAGAACAGGATCAGTGAGGCTCTTGACGACGAACACACATCAAGGACCATAACACTAGATATCTCAAAGGCTTTCGAAAATGGGTGGCGCAAAGCCTTTCTATACAGTCTCTCCATTTATGCAATCACTGGAAGGGTCTTTTCGCTCATAAAATCCTTCCAAACATATAGGGTCCTGAAGGTAGTTATTAATGACGAGTCCTATGGAGGCCTAGTGGCCAACATAAGCGTCCTCCAGGAGTCACTCCTCAGACCAACCCACTTTTTGATCTACATAAACGATTTGCCTAAGAATATAATCAGATCACTACCGATCTGACACCATCAATCTTGATGAAGAAAGGTCCTTTCCGGAAATTACTGTATCTTGAAAGAGTGTTGGGCCTCAGACTTACATCCGACCTCAAGTGGAACTCGTACATACGATCCATGGCTAAGGATGCAAGTAAAATGTAAGTACCTGACTGCTCTTTCTATCCTTTAACTTTACAAGAGTTAGAACAGGCCAAAAAATTGAGTAGTGTTGTTGTATTTGGGCAGGTGTTGCCTAGATCTCACTCTTCAGCCTTGATAGAATTCAAAAGCGTCTTCGAGCATTTGTGAGTGAGGGAATATTCTCCGCCCTTCAATTT